GTGTGTGTGTGTGTGTGTGTGTGTGTGTGTGTGTGTGTGTGTGTGTGTGGTGGGATCTTCTTTTGTGATTCCAGCTCCTGGGATGCTGATCCATCGTGTTCCCAGTGTTCTCCAGTAGCCCTACCCTTCTTCCCTGTCCCTGCAGCCCTAGGATAGGGGTGGCTTTTTGCTGTGGAGAATGCCCCTAGCTGTCTCACTGTGCCCTCTTTGACATTTTCACCCTTTTGTCATCTCTGTAATTAAGTCTTTGTCTTAATTTGTTCTATTTTACATGCTAAGAGTATTTTCCATTTCCCAACTGAGACATTTCTAGAACAGCTTTGCTTTTATCTCATAGGTATCGTTGTTGGGGTGTTGATAAAAGGAATGTTAAATTATTCATTATCTTAGCTAATGTTTAATCAGTTTGGTATTATATTTAGGTGAAAGAAGAACCAAGCAAGCAGAATGATTTGATTGTCCTCTGGGAATTCAGCTTGGGAAGGAGGTGGTGCTTCCCTGAGGGCAGTGGGAGCCAAAAAGGAGTGCTTGTATTGCAGTGGTGATTTGTAAGATCTTACACATCCAGGGATCTTGTAGAAGCAGCAGTTTGTACTGAGGAGCACATTAGTGTGGCCAAATGAAGTGTGTTGGGCTGGTGTAGTGGGCCTAGAGGGGCCAGAGGGCAGCTGATCCACATGGAGGGCTCTGAAGAGCCTCTGTGTACTTGACCTTCAGCCTTTGGTGATGGGGAGTAGTCAAGCTGAACTTTAAGATGAGCAAGTATCTGAACACACTGAGTCTAACAAAGAATATTCTTGGAGGGATGGAGAGAAGACTTTGCAGGGAGCCTCTGGCCAGGTGAGGGGGCAGAAACCTTGGTGGAGAGGTTGGGTGGACTTTGGCTAGAGCCCTAGATTACCAGAAGATACAGGAGGGAAATTAGGATACACTGAGGAATTTGGTGATTGCTTTGCATGTGCCTGGCATTGCATCTGGTGAAGTTTGTGGTACTCATGGAACAAGACATGCCTGTTTAGTAAAGCAAAATGAATTTCCAGACTAGAAGACTTTATCATATTGGGGTCACAGCCTCTTTTTGGAGGTCCCAAGCATGTTTTTGGGTAGTTTATGCTGCTGTATGGCTGGGTATGTTTTAGGTTATAAAAAATTATGGTTGCAGCGCCGCTCATGTTTTACAGAGAAGCCAAATCAGTGGTTCTTTCCAAGAACCGTCCAGTACTCCTGCTCAGTCCCACCACTCCGGATCCTCTTTTCCAGGCTCACTCCTCACCCCCTGCCTCTCTGTTTTAGTCATGGAATTTTTTGACTGTCCTGGTACAGACTGTGTATTTCATTCCCCACTCCAACCTGTCATAGTTTCCTTATTATCTGATGAAAGAATTATTTTTCTAGCTGAGTAGTCATAGTATGAGTTCTCATGTCAGAAGTCTACCAGTGGGACAATCTCTGCTAATTTATAAAATTCACAAAATCACTAGACCTCCATAGATCAAAGAATGAATACTGAGTGTTTCAGAAAGTTGAACATAGCACCCGTGGAGCTGAGCATTTGGAAACAGATCTATAGATATAGAACCTGGTAAGAAATAAAACATCAGAGACAGCACCTGCCTTAAGTGGTCTACAATGAGTTTTTTGGAGGGTGATGCTCTGGAGCTGTGGTAGATGTTGGTAGTTTTAAGAGCTAAAACTAACTTGATCTATTCCTTGAACGATTCAGAGTTGAGTGTGGTGATTGAAAATCTGGATTTTGGAGTCTGACTCTTGTTCTGCAATATTGTGGCCAATGACCTCATCTTGATACTTCCCTTCATTATCCATAATGAGATCATATCAGTGTCCACCTTCAGATTACTAGTAGGACAACATGACAAACGTGTGCAATACACACAGCAGTCCTCCTGAAATACCACCAGGACACCAAAGAGGAGTCTCTGAAGGTTCAGCTTAGAAAGGTGTGTGTATGAGAACCAGGGACTGGGCTAACCCTTTAGTCTATAGAGTCACTGAAAGAAAATTCTGGAGCATGCTTTCTTCAGGACAAGTTGGTTGTTTGAATCCTCAGGTTACTGCTTTGATCATATTACAAATAGTCACTTTGTCCCTTAGAGAACGTCCAGAAATGAGTTCAAAGGCCAGAAGGTGGCGGGTAACGCTTAGAAAGAGACTCAGATGTCACTGCCTCTGTGAAGCTTTCTTGTTACCTTCGTCCTCATTTGAGTTCACTAGTCATGGGCCTCTCTTCATGTTCTGGCAAACAGTCCGAGATAGAAAGAGGAGCAAGAGTGCCCATCCTCATGAGATTTGTGACTTTGTTTACATGTGTCGACGTGGAACAGATTCAGTCCACTGTGATGCAGCCCAGGTGGAGTGCATAGAAGGCAGGATGGTAGCTGGCTTGCAGACATTGTGACAGCTCTGAGATGTTGCGGAGCAGAATGAGAGCCAGAGTCTGCAGGTTTGTATAGGACTGACCTATGAGTAAGGGAAGGGAATAGTAAGACATGGCATTGTGAACATAGGAAGGAGCCAGAACATGCCAGAGCCTGACTTTTTATCTTGGGGATGTTTGGACCGATGAAAGACATTAGGTAGCAAAATGCCACAGGATCCATTTTTAACAGTGTGACCCTGGGGAGGAATATAGACGTGAAAAAGGCAGCTTTGTCTCGTCCTCCCAGGTTGATCAAGGACTGAACAGGGATAGAGTTCTATTCATCTCCGTGTCCCTGATGTTTGGTACATCATAAACATTCAGGAAATATTTTGGACTGAAGATCAAGTTGAATTTCTTCTTTTTTCATTCTATCCTCAGAACATGCTGACCTGGCCTTCCATCTGTCACAAGCAGCTTGACTAAGATCATAATAAATTCTCTTTTCTTGGCATTCTTTTAACTGGCACTCTGTTTACTAGCCCCCTGTGCAACTGTAGTATGGTGAAGATTGATGTTTATAATTCTGACCCTGAAGTCCTTCAAGGCTCCTAAATCATCAGAAAAAGATTAAAATACAGTCAATATCACTCTAATGTTTGTGTGTTTTACCGCATTCTTATGCTTTGGAAATTGATGGCTTTTCAAGTGCCTGTGTACTTGATAAATACACAGTGAGAATCTGAGATCATCCACAACTCCAGACTCTCCTGGTGCCAGGACAGGCCACTTACTATGCGTGCTCAGAACAGAATGACTTGGGTTCTCTCCATGCCTAGGGGTAGAAAGCATGTTGGACCAAAATGTAAGAGAAGCATAAGTTGGAAAGCCAGTAGGAGGAAGCCAGCAAATCAGGTGTATCTCAGAGAAGGAAGGAGTGTACACAGCTATGCTGTGTCCCAGCCTCAGGAAGTGCACATCTCAGTGCTAGGGCCCCAGCACCACAGCCTATGTGCCTTGACTCTGTCAGCGGACTCAGATTGCACAGGGCTCTCCAGCAGCTCTGTTGATTTGTATTGTGTTAACAATGGTTCCATGAGATGTCAGACTCCGACAAGTAAAAGCACATGATAATTAGATCATCCTGGTCCCTCTGCATATCTTCCTTGAAAGCCATTATTATTGCAGGGCTGACAGTATCATGAGACCCAGAATGAAGAATTGGGAGATGCTGGGAGATGGCTCTGTTGGTGACTTTCTTAAAGGGGTCTGATGTTTTCTCTAGGGGTAATTTGAGGTTTTGGGGGATATATATTGCTGTCATTAGAAATACACCTATGTTTTGTTGTACAATTTACTTTCTAGCCTGTTTGGTCATAAATTGTCATCTCAGTTGAGAAAGCCAGTCCCTGAGTCACAGGAATTGAGCTTGCCAAAGGCAAGGACATGTGTACCTTCAGAGCTGGTTTCACCTGTCACTTGGGCTCCTTAGCCAGATCTGAGGCCTCTTTGGAGGCACTTAGTTTTTTCTTCACTGAAATACTGGGATGGTGCTAATTTCCTTCTTTATAGGGTTGCTGTAAAAGCTGAGTAAAATAGTTAATGTGAAAAACTCTCACGGGAAGCATTACCTCCACTAACATAGTAGATATAAATACTGTCATAAGCTAAATATAATATTGCAGAGCAATGCCAACTGTACCAGAGAATGCCACACACCTTCCCTTTAGAACATCCTCATAGATTTTCCAAAATACAGTGGCTTGTTGATGAGCCATTGAATCCCTGCAGTGGGGTCAGTAGGTATCCAGGTGTTACATTGTCCAATCTACCAGGTTGCATCACACCCTCTTTGGAGAATTGAGGTACCTTGTCACTAGATATTCAGAGCAGAAGTTGAACATGGACCTGGTTCCAGAACTTAGCTGTCTCCTTTACTGTGTTACCGAGTCATTATCTAGTTCATAACCTGCAAAACTCCACAACTCTGTTCCTGACCTTGGGGGGGGGCATTGGCTTGTCTTGGGGCCAGTGGAACCTGAGAGCTCCAGGAACCCTGCCAAGCCCAGAGCACAAGGCAGTGAGAGCACTCTCTGAGGGAGGTGGCCATGCCAGAGGAGGCAGTGTCCCAGCCCCTGACAAAATCACTGTGGCCATGTTGTTCCTAAAAGTTTGTTCTTTCTTATGCCAGTGTTCAGCCACCCCATCAGCCCCTTGGGTCCCACCTGTGCCTCTCCATGCCAACTTCACTACAGCAGGGAGCTGTAGACCTGGGACCCTGCTCTCACAGATCACTGCCCACACAGCTCCTAATCTGTTTGCAGAGAGGGATAGGGGATTTAGTCCATGTAGCGATGCTCGACTGAGTATTCGAAACTCTTTTCTCTGATGCTGTATACTGGGGAAAGGACCCTGGGATGGAGGTTTATTAAGTGCCCAATGGAACCCACTGTTGCATACATGATTAGTTTGTTCAATATTTTTGTGGTTCACTGTCAGCTTGTGAAGCAGAACTGACCACAGAGAACCAGAGATAACAGACTACTGAAGGAAGCCGTCAGGGTAGGAGGGAAGCAGCTGTGTGGCCTGTGGTTCTAAAGAAGCTTGTGCTGTGTTTGTGAAGGTTCTCAACAGGAGGTGTGTAGAAGCTGCCGTGATGACTGGCTTGGCGCTCAACTGCCACATAAACAAGAAGTCCTCGTTTGACAGGAAGCACTACTTCTATGCAGACCTTCCTGTAAGTGTGCTATGTTCTCAGCACCGGGCCTGCCTGCCTTGGGGGATGGAAGCAAAGGTCGGGATGTGCCGCTCCTGTTCTCAATCAGCCCTCTGTCCATCGCAGCAGGAGGTGCTGCCCAGCCCTAATGAAGACAGAGCCCCCTGATGTTTACTAGATTGGATGTGATTGTCCTGATGCTGACTCCTTGCCTAGTCTCCTGCTTCTGTTGGTTCCCTTATAATTGAACAGGGACCAGGAGAGGCCAGTGCTGTCAGGTTCTCCCAGCCATGATGTTTGGTGCTAATTGCCTGTTAGGACAAAGGCTAGCCCTGTGGTTGATGCAGCTGTTAGTACCCACTGTCACCGCGAACATTGTGAGAATGTGTCTCTCTTATGTAGAACTTCCTAATAAGAAGGCTAGTTCCTTTGGAGATGTTCTGTTGTCTCCCAAGCAGCAAACAGCTGGTCAGTAGTAGGTAGAACTGTGAGCTAGAATGAGCACAAACAACAGTAATTAGTTGAGCAGCAAACTCAATATTTACCTGCTTTTCCCTTACATTTAGAAAGTTTCTTTCTTAAAGTGGTGCCAATGTGAATGAGAGCCAGTTTTTCATAGTATGGCACTGGAACAACACTGAAATGTTGAATGGGTTTCTGAAAACAATGTGTCATTTAATCAGATGTCTGATAGCTAAGTATGACTTAGAAAAACAGTAGCAATAAACATTGCTGCGCTCCATTCTCCTGGAACTGAAGATTTGGAAGAGTTGGGTTTTAGTGGTGAGGGAATAAACAGACATAAATAAAAAGCAAGGTAAGTAGGACCCTGTAGCTCCTGCACAGCCCCCATTTCCACAAATTCTGCTGTATAAATTCAAAAGAAATGTTTAATTTTTCAGTACTGGGGTTGGAACCTAGGGACTTGCACATTCTAGGTAAGCTGTGTGCCACTGACTCACATAAAGTCCTGGAAATGTTTGGATAATAGTCTGTTCTTGGCCTGGGTGGTTCAGCATGTCCAAATCAGGTGGTCACAATATTGATCATAACACAACTCATTTGTTGTGTATCTGAAACTCCTATTTAGAAAGGTGCCCTGGTGTTTTGTCCAACAACCCAGACTAGAATTCAGGTCCATATGTGGAGACTTCCTGTCTGAGTATAGATAGGGACTTAGCCTTCTGCACAGTTCCCTAGATGTGACCCCAGGACACACAGTGTCAGCATATCCCAGAGCCTTGTTAGCTCTACTCCAGGCCTCCTGCATCAGAAACCTTTAAGGTCGTGTCAAGCATGCACGTCCGCGTGTATTTCTGAAGTTTTAAAAGCCTTTCACTGGCCTGATAAGGAGAGGTACTGACTTGGGTCAGTGAGGCCTGGAGATACCCTGGTTCTATGTGTGGCTTTGGGCAAGGCACTTGGTCCCCTCGTGCCTGTACTAGTGGCTCGTGGGATTAAATAAGGGCAGCGGTGTCCAGCAAGTACTGCAGATTAGCCATTACTCTCTGTTTATCTCCAGTCTTTCCATTGCCCTGCATTCTCAGTGTGTGTTCAAAAGTGATTCCTCTTTTTGGTTAGAAGAGGCAGACACCCTCAGGGCATCGCCAGTTAGTTTGTGCTGTGTGCTGTCCGTTAACAGATTGTGAGCACATCAGTACTTTCTGACCAGAAAACTAAGGGAAGAGCAGCTGGCATGGTTGCCTGCCCAAAAGAGCAGGATCCAAACAAGCTGAAATGCACCGGTAGTTGCTGTAAGCCGTGTTGCAAGTGGACGGCTAACTGCTTAGCTAGCATTCCCTAATAAGGAGCTCAGCAGGAGCCTGGTAAGGAGATGCAGATTTTAGGCTAATGAGTTAAATGAAAACAATACATTTTTCTCTTAGGGGCTTCTGACAATGAGATTATTGTTACTCCCCAAAATGGCACTCCAGCTAGGAAGATGGGATTCACGTTGCTAATTGTGTCATTATTGGGGGTGAGCCACTTTGGGCAAGTAATGGGGTGATGGGAAAAGCCAGAAGAAGAAAGACTAAATGATACAAGTGTATAAACTAATTTTTGTTGTTGTTGTTTCCTTATTTCTCCCATTCTTTGTGTTTGTTTCAAGTAACTCTCAGACATGAAACTGAGAGTGAAGTGAACCCCAGCTTTCGGTTCTGCTCTATGACTAATCCTTGTTTGTTGTGAGCAGGCCGGCTACCAGATCACCCAACAGAGGCTCCCGATTGCTGCCAATGGGCACCTGACGTACAGTGTCTACATGGGGAAGAAACGGAGTCAGATGGCCACCAAGACCGTGAGGATCAAACAGATCCAGTTGGAGCAGGACAGTGGCAAAAGCCTCCATGATGACCTGAGGTCCCAGACGCTCATTGATTTGAATAGAGCCGGTAGGCTGGTTCTACCCTACTTCTTTCAACCCTCTCTGCTCTGGGGTCTCGGGCACTTCTCTTCCTTTCTAGACTTTTCTCAAACCAGTTGGTAAAGCAGACACAGGAGCCTGACTGACAGATCAAAATATCCATGTTGGTATTGGCAGAGCTGATGAGAGAGCACAGCCTGAATTGTGCTCACTGCTAGGCTTGCCAATTACTCACCCCTAAAATCAGACAGACCTATCTGCCTTGTCACGGCCTACAGCTGGATATCCTTAAACAGACATCGCGGAGGAAATGAACCAGAGTTAAAAATGGACAAGTGGTAGATGTGGGGAAGGAGGGACGGACTACTTTGAAGGTCATGCATTAATGCCACGTTTTCCTAAGATCTTCCAGTTCTTGGCTGAATCATCTGTCAAGACCAAGTCAGACTGACTTGCCTCTCTTTGGTAGGAGTTGGCCTTCTTGAAGTGGTCCTGGAGCCTGACCTGTGCTGTGGAGAAGAGGCAGCCATAGCTGTCAGGGAACTGCAGATGATCCTTCAAGCCCTGGGAACCAGCCAGGCGAACATGGCAGGTAAAGGCTGCATGGGCAGTGTCCCTGCTCTGCATCGTCCCCTCTCTGCTTCTGGCACATTCTGTATGTAGCCTTTTGCACCCCACTTCTGTTTTCCCCATTAGAATTTCCCTTGGGTTCTTTTTGTGAGCCCCAAACCAAAACACAAACAGGACTGCACACACATTGAGCTGGAGAGTGTGAGCGTAGGAGTCAGAAGGCAAGATTTACCTTCTCCCAGCTTGTCCCATGAGAACTGAGGGCATCACGAGGTGTGTTCAGTTCAGACCTTTCAGAAGAGAACACTGGTCATGAATAGTAATTCTTATTTTTGTGAGTTCTGTATATATAGCCAGTTGCTATTTTGGAAAGATGTAGTTCTCTTCTTTTGCAGAATTTTCATCCATCTTAAATTATGAAATATCCTGACTTGATTATTACACAGTGTGTATTTATACATATATATGTGGGCACAGATAGTAAAATTTCAAACTGTTTCCCATTCATTTATCCAATTAAAATACCTTTAATCTCAGCACCCAGGAGGCAGAGACAGATAGTTCTCTGTTGAATGCAAGGCCAGCCTGATCTACAAAGAGAGTCAGGCTAGTCAGGGACAAATAGGGAGACCCTGTCTCAAGAAACAATAATAATAACCCATTAACTTATAAAACGGAGTAAAATTTTTTATGTGTGTGCAGGCAAAGCCGGTTTTTCGGCTATAAACAAATGTGGCTACACTGGCCTAGAGAGATACAGCTCAATAGAGTGCTTACCTGGCATGTAAGACCCTTGATCTTTAAGTTCAAGGAGAGAGACACTTGGGGACTGGCGATCAATGAAAGTTCATGAGAGATGTCATATGAAACACATTATTTCAAGTAAATCATAGGTCTCTTAACTTCTCTTTCTTCGTGGCAGTTTTGTCTTGACCCTTGCCCAGTGTTCCTTTGCCTTCCCTTAAGTCCCAGAGAGCGAATCTGTCCCACAGTTTCCCCTTACTTTCCCTTTCCAGACGCTGTGTGAAAACTCCCACCACCCTCAGGGCCCTCCCTGACAGAATACAAGCTCTTGTTTCCATAGTATGCACATGAAATGGCCACAGTGGGCACTTAGTGAGTCCATTTCCCTTTTGGTGTGTAACACTGTGGACACCCTTATCATGTCACATAATGTGTTTGCATGTCACAGAAGGTCTTCTGAATTTTTAATGTCATGCTTGTCACATAGGACATCTTACAAATGATAAATTGTAACTCCAGGAGTCTTGGTACAGTGAGACTTTATTTGCTCTCATCCTTAAAGGCAAGAAACAACCCCCATGAGTCTGAGTGGCATAAAGGTTAGCTGCCTACATGTTTCTTTTTTAGAAACAAGACCATGTTAGAATAAGGGAATGCTCTATTAGTTTCCGTTTATCATTCATGCTGCTTTTTTGCCCACAGAACATAAGTGAAATATGGGCAGGTTGGATGGTCAGCCATTGATGTACTAAGCGTTGATTCTATATCATGTTTTTAAAGTTTCTAGATAATCTCACAATCCTGCAAACCTCTGGAATAATGAACAGGCCACCTGTTAGCTGAGGGAGTCTGGGTCCTAGTAAAGGGGGAAGCCATAATGCCAGGAGTTCGCGAGTCAGTGGCAGCTGAACAAGTTCATTAAATCTCGTTTGTTGTGACACTTTCTGTTTCTTTTCAACACAAATCCAGCAGCTTTGCTTCCAGCACAGCAGCCAAGAAACTCGAGTTGTTCTGAAGTGCTCTGGAGCACTGAGGGCTGCCTGAAGGCCTCAAGAGTCTAACTTCTCTGGCTTTTAGCATTTTCTCTGCCTAAATGTCTCTGTTCATTTTTTTCATGCTGCCTCTGTGAGATTATTGTGTCAGCACTGGAAGCTGCACTTGGAACTGAGGGCTATCTTGAGGAGGTGCCGTGGAGACAGTAGACTTGTTGGTTATAGACTGAAGTTTGAACTGCTCTGGGCTCCAGTTAGTGAGTCCTTGGTAGTTTTGCAAATGAATTTGGCCCACCGTAGACCAGTGTCTGAGTCATTTCCTTCTGATGTTCAGCATGTTGCTGCTATAAAAGAGATCCCCAAAGCAGTGTGTTGATCTGAATGGGAACAGAAGTAGACCTACTATGTACTTCAACAGTAATACTATCTAGTAGTTAGAAAGTTTAGTATGTGCTTATTAAAACAGTTTATCCTGTAACTTAAACACTACAACATTCCTGGGAGGTGGTGGTATGCCTCTTTACAAGTAAGGAAACTGAGGTTGTTTATCCAAGACTCACTGGAAGCTTCTGCACTGGGGCTGAGCCCAGCTGTGCCTCCTTTGTTTATACATGGTACCACACTTCCCAGTGGTAGCCATACAGCATCATGCTGCCATAGAAACCTGCTCAGAGAGGTAGGTAGTGAAGCATGACTGAGGAGGAGGCCTGGATCTGAGACAGAATTCAAGCCTGTGCCTTCTAGCAGTAGAAACCTAGGCACATTACTTGATTTCTTTGAATCTTATTTTCTGCACTTTAAAAAGGCATTCTCAAATAGTTTTGTGGAAAGAAAGAAGCAGACGAGAAAGGAAAGCCAGGAGTCAATGGATAATAAGAAGTGACTCTGTAGGAGCAAATCTGGGGTTCTGGTAGAACATGGTTTGAAGTGCCACAGGGACGTCCAGGTGCCTGTGTTACCACTGTGTTACAGAGAGTGGACGTAACGATGGCTGTAAAGAGCACAGGGTCTGACAAAGGAAGGCCTGTGCTGGACGGATGCTGTGCACTTCCAGCATCGTCGTATGTAGGACTGCGTTTACAGTTTCCACTCATCGGATCAATGTGTTCTGTGAGCTATGTTCAGTACAGTTTGATCACATTTGGCCAGCGATGTAGTCAGTGGCACAACACCTGTCTAGTGTGTGTGAGGCCTAGGCCTTGCCCAGCACGCAAACAGGTTTCTAATCCGCCCTGCCTCCATTCTGCTCTCAGTTCTGGGGATTATTCCACAGACCCCCACCGTCTGCAGAAACAGTGTTCTATCCAGCGCTTTACTCTTGTTGTTCAGATGTCTTTCCAAAGCAGACATGGCCGTTCCGTCACCATGCTCATGTACAGTCTTTGGTTTAGCTGTTACAACCATCTACTCCGAGAAGACAGAAATTGAGCTCGCTGGCATTCCTATGTGGGAATGAAGGCCCTAAGTGGTACTGAATGCACAGAGGCAAACCTGACTGCTAAGGCTTTCATGCACTTGAGGTAATTTAACTTAATTTGTTTAAAAGGCATTTTGTCTTCACGAGTAGAGTGTCTTTTGTTAATGTCTGATACTATATCTGAATCCAGGCTAGTGAACTCTCTTTCAACACGGCAGGATACTAAGTGATTCTCCTCAGACATTTATGTAGTGTGGTGTTCTCTGGGAGAGAGGAAAATTCATGCCTTTATTCCCCTTCCAAATTAGAATTCTAAATCATGAAAGAGAGTGCCATCTTTAAACATGAGTAGTAATTCAGGGTTCCCCGAGGTTTTTTTTTTTTTAGTTGTCTCCCAAGCATTTAGGTTTCATCGTGCAGAGCTCAGCATACTTGGGCAGTTTTCCTTTGAGCTTAATGGACCTTTCACGTAGTTCCAATTGTAGGTTAGTCAGAAAGGATTGTAGACTTACTAGGAACCAATGAGACAGAAACAGACAAATCTGTTTGCTTATTGCTCAGGAAAATAGCAGTGTTTGGGAATTCATCATTCAATAGGGTTTAATTCATTGGATAATAACAGTGGGTCAGTTCTAGATCCTGAAAAAGGCCTTGGCCCTGCCTTGAAGACCTTACCTTAGGGAGGAAATACATTAACAAACAAAACAAAGATAATTATTATAGTTATTTTAAGGAAATAGATGAAGCTTGGTGCCAGAACAACTTGGAAAGTGACAATATTGTTTTTAAAGGCCACTGAGCAGAGTGGATGTTTAGTTAAGAAATAACTTAAGGTCCTAGTTAGCCTAGACGTAGGTGATGAGCATTCCAGGGAACAGGTAAGGCAAACAATAGCTCAGAAAGTATCATTAAGGTTACCAAGGTGGTAGACTGTGGGAAAAGCCAGAAAGATAATAGGGAACAGTTTAGCAGTAGTTAGAAGTGTGCACTTCCAGGTGAAATGGGAATCATGGAAAGGATTCGGGTGAGCGATCACTTAGACTGGTTTATGTTTTAGAAGTCACTGTCGCTGTGATGGTGAGGGCATCTCAGGTCTGGAAGAGAGAATGAGGGATCAGTTGCAAGGCTTGAAGGCGACGGTGGCAAAGATGATGGAGAGATGGGTAGACTCGGCATGGTTCTTAGGAAAAAGGCTCATGGCAGGCTGGTGTGGAGGGTCAGAGGTGGAGAGACAGCAAAGGCGGCTTCAAGGAGGTTTGTAGGTCATGGCTTTATTTGAGATGGGAAGATAAGGACAAGAAGGTCTTTGCAAAGCAGCAAGTCAGGATTTGGATTCGGAAACTGGAATACATATAAAGCCTGGAGTATGACTCAGAGGAGAAGTCTGCCAATGGAGATGTAGGCATCATGGGGCCACAGATGATATTTAAACTGTATATTTAAAACCACTCTGGAGAGCACGTGAGTAAAGAAGAGTCCTTTGTTTTCATAGGACAAGGGTCACAAGCAAATGAAATGCAAGTTGAGTGTTCAGGAAAGCCATGATAGCATTAAGTGGCCAGCACTGATGTAGGACGATGTTTCACGAAGGAAGGAAAACAGGTGAAGGTAATCCTGGCTCACAGGAGAATTGTGAGTTCAAGGCCAGTTTATGCTGTATAGCAAACTTGTGACCATCCTAGGCTATATTTTAAGGCCTTATCTCAAAAGACAGAGGCAAAAAGGGATTAATTGATACAGCACAGTGAAGTGAGAACAGAATGTGTCTTTGTCCATTGGATTTGGTACCAAGGGGCTTCTGGCACCTGTGGACATAGCATCTTCAGAGATCTGAGGACAGAAGCCAGGCTGCTGTGGGTTAGGATTGACTGGGGTGAGAGAGTGAAGACAGTATGTGCACTAACTTGTTAGAAAGGATTTACCTAGAGGGAAAGCAGAGAAATGGCTGATGACTGATGGTGTGAATATTGGGCTCATGGGACTAGCTTTTGAGGCTTTTGTGTGTTTTCTTAATGAGAAACAAATACTATTAGATGTGTACATAGCAGAGGGAACGCTTAGAAAGATTGATGGCTTGTATGGAAGAGAGGATTAGTGAAGCCCATGTCCTTGGGGCGGGGGGGGGGCATCCTCAAGGATCTTTCCATTCTGGTTTTAGCAGTCAGTCATTGGCTCTTATATGTGGCTTGCATTCGTTGTATCTGAGAAAGCTGCGGCACCTCCACAGGGAGGCTCGCCTCCTGACAGAAGTGCCTGCTAGAGAGAAGGAGCACTTACATGTGGTCTTGGAGGTTGAGCCTAAGAAGAGACAGAGAGGGATAGGAACATCGAGGACATTCCAGTGGAAAGCTAGATATGGGGTGCACATCTACAATCCCAGTACTCCAGAGGTTGAAGCAGGAGGACCAAGATTCAAGGTCAGCCTCAGCTACATAGTGAGTTTGAGGCCAGCTTGAATGACCTGAGTCCCTGTCTCAACACTGCCAGCCCTTTCAAAACTGAAAATGAAAAGCTCCAGTGGGGAGCTTTCCTATGGCGTGAATGCTGTTTGCATTAAATAAGCTCTTAGACGTGAAGTAGAGGAGTGACCCAGTGAGGCTTCGGTGCTCCGGTGAGCCCTGGAAACGGTAAAGCCGCAGTGCACCAGCACGGAAGTCTTGGCTAGTTACACTGCTAGGACTGGACAAGAAGCCCTGCTGGCAGGGTTGAGACAGCATGTGACCTTAACGGCTGCAGTAGCAGACTGGAGAGGGTGTCTGAAGGGACCGGAGAGGGTCTAATTGGAGGTAAGGGACAAAGTTGGAAATACAAGGTGTCATCAGGGCTCCCAAGCAGGTGGCACTTCTCAGAACTCAGAAGAGTGTGAGTTGTTCAAAAGCTGATTTAAAAATAATATGCAGTTGTGGAGAAGTCAGAGCTGGCAAAGTCAGTAGAGCCATTCCTGAGCTGAAAGGCGTCTGGTCAGGCTTTCAGAGCCAGAGAGTAGGGAAGCTACTCCCATGACCTGAGGGCCTGGGGAGGGGGTGCAGTAGCTGAGCAGTGGTCTCAGCTGGTGCAGGATTGATGCCATAGCTCAAGAGTTGGGGTGACAAAGAACCCTCCTTTTCCTGGTATGGAATTTATTAATGCTTTTAATTGTTTTAATATGTTTTTGTTGTGGAACATTTGGGAAATGAATTTATTTAGCCCATCATCGGGCTTAAAGGATTAACATCTTTAATCTAAAAACCCACCTAAGAGCTAGGAGCAGTGACACACATGCCTTTAGTCCGAGCTACTTGGGAGGTTGATGGAGGAGAATGGTGAATTCAGACGTGCAAGGGCTCCATAGTGAGACTGTCCCAAAAAATAAATAATAAAAGCAACATTGGTCTTCCCATCTTGTTGTAAGTAATGCACATAAAGTTGGAGAATAGAACTCAAGCTTTACTTTGTAAGATAGAAAATGTGATTTTTTTTTCTTGTCTTCACATCTGTCTTGGGATTTTTTGCCTCCCTTTATTCCTTAAAAGACTTTAGTCCTCTCCACAAATCACCTGCCTCCTTAGGGTCATGTTTCCTAAGCCAAGGAGCTTCCGAGGGAAGAGGAGGTCCCGAAAGGATGGGGTCAGCTCTGCTCTCACCCTTCCACCCTCCCTCTCCAGTCTTCCTGCTTCAGCAAATCCTCTTGGCAACCAGGGAGACTTCGGACTCCTGTTTATAGAAGGAAAAATCATTACAGTGCCTGAGAAGGGAGGGAAACAGCTTGGGTGTCAGCTCCTGCCCTTGAGCTATAAATTCTCAAGAACTGTCTTATAAATCTCCTAAAAACGCGTAGAGATCCCAATTTCACTGGAGAGCACTGGAGGGGTTACACATAATCATTTTGGAGGCTTCACCAAAACCCACCTCAGATACTTTGGAAATAGCCATGGAGTAAAGCTGAAGAGTGAACCTCTTATTTATTAACCTTATTCTCTCACTTAGCACACATACACTAGATCTATCCTTCCAGCTTGTGCATCAAAAATGTCTCTGTATGCACACGAAGAAACATATTTACACACACCTAAGGACTCTGACTAGCCTTGAATGTCAGCGGGAACAACCACATGTTTCTGAAACTAGGTTGCTCTAACTAGACAGAAAATCAAGTTAGATACTACTTACCCTGACATCTCCCTACCCTACAAACAATATTGCTTCAAAGAATTCCTACAGTTTTTGTATTTTTTCCTTGCAGAGGGTCAACTGAGAGTAGACGCCAATATATCTGTGCATCACCCCGGAGAACCTCTGGGTGTCCGGACGGAAGTGAAGAATCTCAACAGCCTCAGATTCTTGGCTAAAGCCATAGGTGAATGTCAACTTGGACTCCTGCTGTCCCTCTGTACCAGTCTCCTGTCACTTTGTAGTGGGCAGCTGCACATAGCGGTTCCTGCAGCGATCTCTAGTTCTCACAGTTCTGTGGGCCAGTAGTGGCTCTGCTCATGCCTGCAGCTCCAGAAACTGCCAGGTTAGCAGAAGCGAGGATCTGAGAAGCCTCAGTCACGTGGGGCCCTGTGACTTGAGGCTTCTCCATCCATGTGATGTGTTGTCCTTCCCTTGTCCAGTCCAGGCTTTTGTGGTTGTGAGTGGGGGATCCCAGGAGGGTGGAGGCAGAAGCCTCATAGTTCACATGATCCTCAGCTCTGGAATTCAGCTCACACAGTGTCACTTCCGACACATTTCTTTCAAAGCACCTTGAATTCAAACCACATCCAAAGGGAGGGAAATAGACTCCACCTGCTTCGAGAGGATTTACAAAATACGGTGGCTGTGTTCTACCTCGTATCGTACACTCTATGAAGTCTTTAGATTGGATATCATCTATTTAGTTCCTATTTTCTATTTTTCACCATTTTCAGCTAGTAGATTGCATGTGCCTATGCAGTCAAGGTTGGTTTTCCTGGAGCATACAGTGAGCATTTCACTGATGACAAATGTATGATAATAACTGATGCACAACAGGTTAGCTCTATGGCAGTCCCACAGAAGCTAGAAACAGTCTGAGGACAGCTCAGAAGACTCAAAGTAGATTTTAAAACCAGAGACATCCATAGAGGAGGGAGGGATGACTTAATGTGAATCCTTTCCAGAGTACACAGACAGCAAGCCTGCCGAAGGTATCACCATTGCACTGCTGGAGCCAAGATGCTTAGCGGGCACTGGATCTCTGGGGGAAAGTATTAACACAGTTCAGAAGGGGCTATTCTCATCTGTTTACGCCTTGTTCCCAAACCTGAAATGATTAGCCTGTAGTGAGATACTCACCCACCCCAAACCCCCACTCCCCCACACCTGTGGTGCTGACCACACACATTTGGACACAGGTGTGGACATGAGTGGTTAAAAGGATTGCATTGGGGCTGGGAAGCCATTTCTTTGGGTCGCAGAATGCATCCTGGTGGCAGGGTCTCCATGCTTGGAGTGGGAGCCCTCAACTGTCATTTGTTTCCTGTGTATAAAGTTCCCTTCATCTTACTGGTCAAGCATCCTGATTTCCATGCACTGTATTAGCCAGCCTTAACGAAGACAGAAGGGACATATTTTTAGAGAAAGGGCATTAAAATGGATCAAGGGGTTAGTCATGAGACAAGCAGGATAGAGTAAAGAGTGACTCCTATCTCTGAAAGGGGACATAGTCCATTTGCTGAAGCCACCAAATGGGGTAAGAGGAGAGGCTCTTGCTTGCAAGTTGTGTTTGTGAAGGAGCTCACCCTGAGCATGCCATGTTCAGGGCTGCGTTGGTCTACAAGATGCTTAACAGTGACCAACCAAAGGCAGGCAACCAGACTCTATGGCTTGTCTGTAACAGTGTACACAGGAGCCCTTGGTATTTTTTTTTTTAGACTGCCCCTAACCTTTTTTTGTTATATGAGGTGCCCTCAGTCAGAATTCTACCTGTGTTCAAACACAGCCTAGAAGAACCAAAGCTTTGCCACCATGGGCTTAATTACCCAAGCCTACAATTTGCCCACCAGGTGTTTTCAAATCATGTTGGACCTTTAGGCATCATTTCATGTTAGTCAAGGAGAACATTCAGGTGAGAGGTGGGATACAAATGAACCGGTTTGGTGCTGTTGCCTCTTAGCAGCCCAGATTAAAGGGATTGGATTTGAGCAAGGGACATGGGGTGGGAAGTTGGGAAGGGTGACTTTTGCAAAGGAGCGTAGCAGTTGTGCTGTGTGTCGATCATGTTTGGCTGTGGTGATTGGCGTAGTCTGTCTATTCTGTTGGGTAGTAAAGGTGTGTGCTACGGAGCAGTGGTGACAGATATGTTGGAAAATTATTCTCTTTCCAAAGTGTGCATACACTTTCACCCATGTTCTCTATATACACTTTGAGGGTTATGAGGGTTCTTTGTGACCCATCTGGTAGTCCCAGGATAAGGCCACAATCCTAGATCTGCAGTCACTAGACCTACACAGCAGTCCCAGCCCTCCTACCAAGGTGTCTATAGCTGTACTAGGTTGTTAATCTCTCTGAGCTGAGGTGTCTGAAAAAGAACGAGAGAGGAGGAAAGAGACAAGCTTCTTAAGGCCCTTTCCAGTTGTGAGAAGAAAATACAGCCCGCAAGGGAATGATGATCATAATGATCATCCCCTTGACTTTTTTTCTTTAACTTAAGGATTGAGAATGGGTGCTAATTATTGCCTGCATGGATGAAAGGGAGTCAAAATGTACTAACTTGTTGTGATTGTTTTTCAGACTATGAAATTCAGAGACAAATCACTGAACTTGAGAGTGGAGGTGAAATTCTAAATGAAACTCGTTCGTTTGATTATAAGCTGGGGTGAGTTTGTATTGATAAGCTTGGAGGCTGGGGCTCAGCCATGGATTGGTCATGTGACAAAGGTGGCTTCTCTGTAGCCATAAGAGAAAAGACCACTGCACCCCACAGGGATGAAACAAGGTCTTCTGTGACCTTAAAGTGCAGCTAACCCAAGCTTTTACAGAAGTGCTTCATCTCAGGTCAGAGAGGCCCTTTGCTCCCCGTTTTTTGTGGCAGGAGTTTTTGTCCCCTTAAGTAATCTGTGGGGGCTCTCACAGCCTAAGCTTCATGTAGAAAAGGGCTAAGAGCTGGTTGTGGGGATACTGCATCAGTGAGTTTTCTGTTACTAAGATAAAACACTGTGATCAGAAGCAGCCTATGGAAGAAAGAGTTTATTTTGGCTTGTGATTCCAGAGGCAGTATCCTTAATGGCAAGGGAGGCATTGCAGTAAGTGGCAGGAACAGGAAACTACGAGATCAAATCTTCAACCACAGACACAAAACAAAGAGAGCAAATTGGAAATGGGGCAAAGCTATGAACCATGAGTGACACACTTCCTCCAGCAAGACTGTACTGTCCCCCAAAACAGCACTGCCAGCTGGGCACCAAGTGTTCAAATACCAGAGCCTCGTGGGACATGTCTCAACAAAACCACCACAGATACCTTTTTTGTGGTTGTTTAGAAAACTTGGATCCTGTTTTTTCTCAGCCTGAATTTTAAGATCTTGTACTTTAAGTAAAATACCAAAGAATGTTCAAAAGTCTATAGAGTTTGTGTGAAAGCTGGCAGGACGTGGCTCGGCAATAGAACGCAGGCTGCGAATGCTTTAAAACCCTGAATGCTTTAAAACCCTGGGTTCAGTCCCTGTCTACACATACACGAAATATTGAAGCAGTTTGTTTTTGTGAAATTATTTTTCTAGGCATTTCTCTTTATTTGTGTAAAATAGGGGAGCCAAAGTAGATAGTAGTAGATCCATTCCCTAGGCGATCCTATGGAAATCTGAAGAACTTCAATTTGCCTGTCACTAAAGAGAAAACCCTATGCCAGGAGCTGTCATTAAAACAAATATTTGAGCTATTCAGCTTATAGAGTGGGTCAATTTTGGTTCACAGTTTCAAAGGCTTCAGTCTGTGATTGATTTCGCCTGTGGTGGCACCTCTTGTTCCAAACACATGACTCAGCTAAACTGCCTGCCTCATTGCCAATATGCTAGCCAATCTTGATTGTTAGCTTGTTAGATTAGTGAAACATACCTTTGGGTATGTCTAATGCTGTTTCTGGAGACCTTTAGATCCCAGCTTAATGAATAATTAATCCCTTCATGGAGTCATATGATGACATCATTAGGAGGTTGGGCCTGGTAGGAGGACTAGGCCTCTAGGGGCATGCCTTTGGGTACATATCTTACTCTGTCTATTCCTCTATTTCCGTTTCCTTGTTTGTTCTGACATACTTTCCCACCATGGACTAATACTTCTGAAACCAAAAACTAACATAAATATGTCTTTTCCTTCCTAAGTTGTTTCTGCTAGGTATTTGGTAATCGTGAAGAAAGTAACACACTAGGAAACAAAAGATAGAAGGAGGGCCCAGGGTTCCACAGTCTCCTTTGAGGGCATATTCTAATGGCCCAAAGGCCTTCCATCGGACCCTGTCTCTTTCTGACACTTCTACAGTTTCCACCTCTTCTTGATAGCACCAAGTCTTTACCACACAGCCTTCGTGGGGAATGCTTGAGCTCCAGCCCATGGTTAGGCTAGGCCCTCTCTGCACATGGTGTAGCCAGTGTTGCGTGCAGTGTTCTTAGTGCTGTCTTATCTGACTATTGCAGGTGCACCGTGCCAATGAGAGACAAAGAAGGAAAGCAAGACTACAGGTGATGATTCCTCATGCAGATACCAACATGTATTTGGGGATACAGTGCAAATCCATTTAAAAGTCAGCATGATGATGATGGAGAATTTGGAGAACTACCTGTTTTTACATGATATAAAGCAAGATTTCTTATTTTGTGTTATATGTAAACTAGAAGTGATATTTTCTTGACTTGGTAGCTGCAGAGTTCCTTGATTAATAGGAATTCAGTTGCTGGAAGATACCTGTTTACAAAACTCTGTGACAAAGATACTGTCATTTAGCTAAGAGGATGGCAGGTGAGGGAGGGCCTAGGCTTACATTTGCTAGTAGTTCTGTAACATATTGAAATTCTTTGGGAGGTTATGAAAAAGAGATTTGTCTGTCAGTGAATGGTCCCTTCATTGTTTCATTGCCAAGATAAGCAAATCAGAGACTTGCTCATCTTCAGTAAAGTGCTCACCTGGCATGTAAGAGGCTCTGACTTCCAGTCTTAAAGCTGGGTTGGGGGGTTGTCATGGAACAGAAGACTTTCACATAAAACAATAATAGGCTTAGGATAAGTTGAACCTTTTACTTTTTCTCATAGAGTTTAGCAGATTACAGAGATGGGAGCTCTAGCAGGAAAGTTATTCCAATTCACATGGCTTTCCTTTGTGAAGTGTGATACACTTTGACTGCCACACTCCTATCCCGTGCTTACCCCAGGCAGGGTGCTTTTGTTATGGTGGTCTTCTAGGTTGTGACTCTTCCGCAGTGCTTCTTTAGTTCCCCATGTTGCTGCTCCCTATCATTTCCTACTGACCACGGGGTTTGCCTGTTAACTCTGCCAGTGGCTTCCACTAGAGGCCCCAAGTCTCCAGAATCCTCCCTCTTGGGTCTGTCCTTGCTTTCAGAGGACAGACTGCCCATAGCTGAGGACCGAGGAATCACCTGCACCTCTAACCTAGTTCCTCCTTGCGTCTGCTGAGCACTCCCCTGCATTGCTGAGCACCTCCCTGCATTGCTGAGCACCTCCCTGCATTGCTGAGCACCTCCCTGCATTGCTGAGCACTCCCCTGCATTGCTGAGCACTCCCCTGCATTGCTGAGCACTCCCCTGCATTGCTGGGCACTCCCCTGCATAACTGAGCACCTCCCTGCATTGCTGAGCACCTCCCTGCATTGCTGACCACTCCCCTGCATTGCTGAGCACTCCCTGCATTGCTGAGCACTCCCTGCATTGCTGACCACTCCCCTGCATTGCTGAGCACTCCCTGCATTGCTGAGCACCTCCCTGCATTGCTGAGCACCTCCCTGCATTCCTTGAGCACTCCCATGCCTTTACATAAGCCCTTTGGCTCTGGGCAAAGAGAGCAGTGCTGGAGCAGAACAAACAAAGGAGTAGTTTCCTTTGTAAGTGAATGCAGTCCTGTACTCCATCTGATTATTAACAATGACTGTCGTTTAGTTAGAGCAGCTTTGAATAGGAAGTGGTGTTCTCGTCTGCTTTCTTCTACTCTCCTATCACTCACAGTATATCACAGTGGTATACTGCAACCATGAACCAGTATTGCTACTTATGATTCACTGAAATCCATAGTTTACGCTGTACATCCTGTGGGCTTTGGTATGAGCACACCGTCACACAGGTTCACTACCCCAAGAGTGTCCCAGGTTCTACCTATTCATCCTTCATCCCTGCCCGCTAGCTTCCACATTTCATTTAGGCAAAATCCACTCTGTTTTCCTACTTCTCAAGAAGGGAGGAGCCCTCTCTTCCCTCTTTGACTTTTAACTTATTGTAGAGTACTGCTAAAAATAGAAAATTTAAAGTAGGGAAAGCCATCTTTCTTCCTCAAAGTAAGCTGTTCTCATTTGTCCTCCAGTTCGCAGCCCCTCTGACACTTTCCTCACTTGTATAAGCCAGAGTATGGCTCGGTTCCATGGTACCCTCTCTCCCATCTTTATCCCATAATGGTGAAGAATGGCTTTGCTGGGTAGTCTTTGACTGGGACATTTAGAAACCTCTGCAAGTATTCTGGCTTTGTACCTAAGCCCAGAAGCATTCCCATCATTTTTAGATTTGTGGTTCTAATCAATCCAGACACCCAGAATCAGATCCCATCTGTTCTCTTTGTTTAGGTTTATGCCAGAGCCCAACCTACCCCCCTTAGTGCTGTATGATGCCACATCCCTGCCTGCAGATGCAGACTCTCAGCAGGTGGTCAATATTGACGAGCTTCGGGACATGCTCCCTGAGCTCCCCAGTACAACCAGAGAAAGGCTCGTCGAGCAGTACGGGATACTGCCAGAGCACAGCTTCACGTTACTGGTAAGTGTTGATCGGATCTGAATTAACCCAGCTTAGCAGACTGGCTGATCTCCACAGAGCCTTTCTCCACTCCTACACCAGACACCTTGGAGAGGGGTAAGACACAGTACCTCCCATAATGCCCTTGACAGAACATGCTCACCTCAGCCCACCAGAAAAGGAAAAAACCTCCAAGCTGCCCACAGGAGCCCTGTGGACTGGGAGGCTACTTCAAATGTTATGGATGAGTGTATTCTCAGGATATGTGTGTCTGCAGAACGCCCCCCCCCTCCAAAAAATAATGTTTAGGGTTTCTAGATGACTGTTGAACCATGACAGGATGTTAGGTTTCCAAAAGCCAGAAAACATCCTGTATAAAATGTTGCAAACGACTAAACATCTTCATCTGTGAATTTGAAGATGCCTCATTTGGGCCATTAAAGATTCTGGTACCCTTGAGGTAGCTTAGGGATTTTCCATCCGTTTTAGAACTACGTGGAGCTTTGTGGATTTTTTTTTTTGTCATGGCAACAGTAAAGTGATGCAGCATCAGCAAGGGTGGCTTTCTGTCACAGCTGCCACCTTCTTGTCAACAGAGAAACTGGGAAGTTGTTTTGTTGGTTTTGAGTAGTTTTGGAGACAGAGCATCATGTAATCTAGGCTGTCCTTGAAGTCCTGTCATCTTCCAGAGCAACAAAATCTGTAGAAACTGGATTCTTGCTTTTTAAGTAATCCAATAATAAGTATGTAGGGGTGTTAGGATATATATTATATGTGTACTTATATACTTAATAACCACAAAATAGTGACTTATGGTGCACTAGGCAGTCTACTGCTGGGTGAGTGGTTCTTTTTGTCCTCCATCAGTCAGCTTTTTAGAGAGTAAACCGTGCCAAACATAAGAACTTCGGTTTTCTGACCAATAATGATAAAGCAGACAGCTGTTTCTCTAGTACTCTAGGTTGACTTGATTATTGGGGTGCCATCATGTCCTATGCATGCATGTGTGATAATTATCATTGCGTGTAAGTTAGTAGCATGTCTTGTCCAGTGCCTAAAGGAAAGCACTGTTCCAGTCTGTTCTGCAGCTAGATGAGCCATCAGCAGATATTCACAAAGCCCCACTGATCAGCATCCTGTACAGAACATCTCTAGCCCTGAGCTTCTTACAAACCCTGTATATTTCTTAGATCTCTGTCTTAGTGGTTATTACGGCTGTGATGAGACATCATGACCAAAAGCAGCTTGGGGAGGAAAGGGTTTCTTTGGTTTACACTTCCACATCAGTTCTGCATTGAAGGAAGTCAGGACAGGAACTCAAGCAGGCGGGGAGCCTGGAGGCAGGAGCTGATGCAGACTCCATGGAGGAGTGCTGCTCACTGGCTTGCTCAGTCTCCTTTCTTATAGCACCTAGGATCACCTGCCCAGAGATGATACCACCTGCAATGGCCTGGATCCTCCCCCATCAATCAGTAATTAAGAAAATGCCCTCTAGGCTTCCCTACAGCCTGATGTTATGGGAATATTTTCTCAGCTGAGGCTCCATCCTCTCTGGTGACTCCAGCTTATATCAAGTTGACATAAAACTAGCCGTCACTGTTGCTTGTAACAAACTGGTCTTATCTTTACACCTCTTCCCCATCACTTTTGCCCTTGAACTTAACACTGAGTTGTAGACCTGCATCTTCTTAGCATTCTGCAGCTCCTCTCAGAGAAGAAAAGTAGGACCATGGATCTTTGCTCCAAAGATGTCAGTGCCATCTCTCCATCTGACTTTTGGGTAGCTGGGTTCAAGCAAACCCTTTGAGGTAGTTTGCAGTGCACTTAAGTTTCTTGGCCATTTCTTTGCCCTAGCCTGACTTTCAAGAAGAATCCACTGAATATGAATTATGAACTGTTGTTATATATTGGCATTCTCTGTAAGAAATGAGAAATGGTCTCCTGAAATCTTCAGAACATAGCTGTTTACTCCCTCAAAAAGCAACTCTTGACATTGCCACACTTGACCCCTGGAATGCGTCTACCTCACTTGCCAAACATAAGCTCTGTAAAGTTAGGCCATGATGTGTGTCTTTGCGTCTTAGTCTTCTGTGGGCCAAGACACAGCAGGCCTTGAATGAGTGCTGTTAAGGACAATAGCAAATGAGGGAATCTGTTTGAATAGTTCATGAACTTGTGCAGAGAAAGCTAACTCTCCAAGGTAGCAGGCATGGGGGAAGGAGCAAAATTGTTCAACCCCCCTCCATCCCTTCATAGGGTTTATGTTTATTCCTGACACCATGGCTGACCAGCTCTCTGGGAGATGGCAGCAGGTAAATGGAGTGTAGGAACCCAGCGGAGATGTTGAAACTTCAAGGAAGTGATCGGGGGGGGGGGGGGAGGAGGGGAAGGGGGCCTTTTTTTTAAGACTTATTTTTCTTAGTACCTTTAAGAAGTAATATTTATAGATGAAAGATAATGTATTAGGTGACTTATAAAACAAAAAGATAAAAGGGTTTGTCCTTGAGATTTCCAGAATGAATAAGAATTCAAGATTGGAACAGAGAATGACTCAGATAAATTGTTTCCCGAAATTAGGCAGCCTGAGCCCTTTATGACTCCATAATCATTGGAAGCTGAGTTACTCATAACATTCCCGAAAATGATATGTTCATGTTTTTCTGCCTTCATCAGAAATACAACAGATTGCTGAGAAGGGCAGATGCACAAATCTAATGAACCATCTTTCAATTTAAAGAGTGCCCAGGAGTATTCATTAAATAAATGGCAGTGGTAGAGGTGTGCTCTCAGGGCTTCCACTCCAGCTCAGTGCCTTTGGACTTCTTATTTAATTAAGTAGTGTGTGCATACACCCCCGCAACACAACAGAAGCATACATTCCACACGAGGAAAAAGACCTTCAGAATTTAACCCACTTTTAATTTATCTTGCCATTTTCCTGTGCAGTAAACAATAAATTATGTTTTGTTAGTATTATTTTTGACATTTTATAGAACTTTTGCTAATACACATTAACATCTATTGCCTTATTAAGCACATAGTAGGTCTCATTACCTGGACAGACAAATGATTGAATGAATGGGATACCATTGTATTGCACATGAAAATCCTTGGAGAAGTAGTGTTCCTGACTGTTTCCAAAAACCAGAAACATAAACCACCCTTTGACAACCCAGCGAAATCATGGGACTGTGTGTGGGTCACTGAACCCTTGGTGAGAAGATTCTAGCGACCGCCTCAGTCATGCCATGTCTCAAGTCACTTGGTCTCAGACATTTACGTTCCAGCTTAGTCTCATTAGCAAATCATTGGGAATCTGGATTTTTCTCTCCTGGACTGTGATGAGAATCCCCTAAAAAGGAAACATGTATGCTGATTTTTTTTCTACCTACATTCAAATCCTGACCACTGATGACTTCAAGTTATTTAGCTAACCTTGTTTCCCTGTCATATCAAATTTGCTTGCTTTCTGATCTCGCTTGTAGAGATTAATGTAGAAATGTAGAAACTGAGATCCAGAGACTCTGATAGTAGAATAGTACCTTCTGTGAGTCGGTGGATGTTGGAAGAAGTGTTAGAATTATTAGGTAGATGCGTGTGATTTTTTTGTTTTGTTTTTCAGTCTTGTAGACTGATTTTCATGAGAACATCACTTCCTAGGCTGAGTCTTGCTTCATTCAGGGAACACTAAGGATAGTAGCCATTTTTCTAAGCAGCATATTTAAAGGCAGCTTGTTTACCGCATGCTCTGTCATTTACCATATTTGCTTCAGACAACCCCTAAGGCAGGGGTAGTTGCTCTCCTGTTAGATGTGAAGAAATGTAACCTTTTTGCTTAAGGAACTTTTGTACTCATGTTGGACAATGCTTTATGTTTCTAAGTGCTGCTACCTGCTCGCTGCCATGCCAAGTGGAAATAATGTTTTTTTAGGTAATGGCTGGTTTTGACTGCCTTTGTTTCATTAGTGGAGGAAATTGGATTTTTACTTTTGCTAAAAGTTAATGCTTAATACAGTCCCAGGGTTGTTTTTATGAAACTCAAATCAGAAAGTGCATGTTCATTGAAAGCTTTTAGCCACTCTTGTTGGTTTTGAAGATGCCAGACTGTCTATAAATAAACATAAAGAGTTGTCTACTAAATTTTGTGAAAATCAGTCCACTGCAATGGAAAATGAACAGCACAAGTCACGCTGATTTTCCAAGTGGAAAAATTAGGTCAGAGAGGTAGCATAAGCAGTCTTCTGCATCTTCGTTTATTTTGTTTCTTGAAACTTTCTGCTGGAGGCACATGGGTCCTTAGGTCTGAGTCACTGAGAAGTGCTCCTGCCTAGGCAGTTTGTAGGCTTGGGGGTGGTGTTTTCACAAGGTCCTGTGTTGTCGCGCCTGGTTGATACTAGGCACCTGGTCAGGGCCTGCCATGAGTTCTCATGCAGCTGGCTGTTCATGTAAACAGTAGACAGAGGGATGACTCATCTCTGCAGAGCTGCAGTAAAGGAGCAGCAAGCCTAGGTCGGGGTTTTGTGAGGGCTGCACCTGCTGGTGTCCTGTCCCTCTGTTCAGACTCCAGCTTGGCCTGTCCCTTTTCACACTTTGAGTAGTCCCACCCAGTTAAAGCTCTCCCATCTGACTCAGGCAACCAGAGCTCCCCCAGAGGAGGGATGACTCACACCCCAAAGATGGTAGACATGGAGTCTTCATTGAATCTAAAAATTCTAAAGCCAGTTAAGTGGACTTCCAGAATATGTTTCTGGGGAGAAGAGCATTGGTATCAGGCAGCATGCAGACATGGCTCATTGAGAACCATGCAGAGCATGAGTTCATAAAAATCCAGTCTGGCCCCCATGGATCTGCTGAAAAAATGTGCTGTCACCCCCACCTACTCTCCAACCAGTAACCTGTGCTACCATTTGTGTATGCCAGGCTTTGTATTCAGTCTCAAAACTTGTCATCTTATTGGACAGCTTCATTTTCTTCAGCTGGTTCCTTTCCATGGAAAGTAACAATCTTTGATTCTGATGTCA